GAAAATGAGGAGAGAGGAAAGGAAGCTAAAGGAGAGCCGGTTCTGTATTCAACCAACAGTTTAGAATTAAAGCGAACCCTGCTGTGGAAGCCAGAAACACCAGAGAGGTTCCTGCGGGCCAAGGTTTTTGGCCAGCTCTTCAGAGAGTTTGGTTCCAAGCTGGGGAAATGGAGTAACTATGAAGCCAGAGTCTCAACATATGAATCAAAGGCTCCTTTCCAACCTCCAGAAGGATTTGGGGATGGAGCCCCTAGTGGTTCCAGTGCTGCGAGCTGCAGCCCGGGCTATGGGGGACATGTGCGTGCGTGGCGGTGTGTGCCCCCCAAGGACAGCTGGCCATGCACCAGGGCATGTGCATGTGTGGAGGTGTATGCCCCTCACCACCCCCCAAGACAGTTTGCCACGCAGCAGGGCATGTGCGAGCGTGGAGGTGCGAGCCCACCCCCCAGGACAGCTGGCCGTGCACCAGGGCATGTGCGTGCATGGCAGTGTGTGCCCCCGCTAAGGACAGCTTGCACACCAGGGCATGTGCGTGCATGGCGGTGTGTGCCCCCGCAGGATAGCTTGCCGCGCAACAGGGCATGTGCGTGCATGGCGGTGTGTGCCCCCCCCAGGACAGCTGGCTGCACACCAGGGCATGTGCATGCGTGGAGGTGTGTGCCCCTGCCCAAGACAGCTTGACGCGCACCAGGGCATGTGCGAGCGTGGAGGTGTGACCCCCACCCCCAGGACAGCTGGCCACAGACCAGGGCATGTGCGTGCGTGGTGGTGTGTGCCCCCCCAGGACAGCTTGCCTTGCACCAGGGAGCGCCCCGCCTTCAGGAAGCCTTGAGCCAGGAGCAGCTAAAATGTGCTTCCTCTTCCCCTCTCTTGAGCCCCGAAGGTCACTGGGGGCCAACCAGCCCTTCCCCCACACCCTGCCACTGAGCTGGGCCCCCCTCTCCCCACCCCTGCCCAGGGCCCAGCTGAGAGATTACTCTACACCCCCCCCCCCCCCCCCCCCCCGCTGGCCAGGAGACTCTCTTGCCTGCACCACTGCTCTGGGGGCCCGCAGGAACACATGGCCCTCTCAACCCGTCTCACCCAGCAGACATGGGCTGGTGGCCCCGAGGTCTGCTCATCCTATGAGGGTAGAACCAGGCTCCTACTGGGAGTAGGAATTCCTCCTCAGCATCCAAAGCAAAGGTTGCTTAGAACAGCGTCTGGTCTGCAGGATGTGCTGCAGTGCTAGTGGCTTTTGTGCTCCATCCCGGCCTGGGTGCCCTAGAATGAGCAGTGAGCAGAAGAGATGGGGAGGGATGGGGCCCCGAAGGTTAAACAGTTGAGAGGCGAATGGAGCCAAGTGCTTCCCCAAAGCCAGGAATGGGAATTAGTAAGGTGTTTTTGTAGAAAAGCAAGGGGACCAGATGGAATTGAGAAGAGCGTTCTTGTAAGTAGCAGGAATAGCTTAAAACTCTTGGGGCCAGGTTGTGTAGGGTCTTGATTACCAGGCTAGGGTGTTTGAACTTCCTCCTCTAGTTAATGGGGAGCTGGGTGATTTGGGTTTTAACACACCTTATTTTGCTATCCTGGAGTGAGACTTGGTATTTAAGTGAACTACAGAACTCAGAGGTACAGAGTTGAGCTTGGTATGAGGTTGAACTCCTACCTTGCATTTGGGCTCTTCCTCCCTCCCTCCCCACTCCCTCCTGTCCTCTTCTCTCCTGGGCTCTCTTCCTTTCTCTCTCTGCATTTTTCCGATTTTAAAACTCTGTGCATTATATCTTTCTTGTAGTTCGTAACTAATCCCAGGAATCTTCACATCAACTGGTGAGAAGGTCGGAAATGTGACATGTTCTTTTTTTTTTTTTTTTCTTTTCAAAGCAGGATTAGGCAGGTAATTATACATTTTGGACAGAAAGGAAAGTGTCTAATTTCTCATCTCTGAGATTGTCAGATCCCATCCTGTTCAGCCAGAGACTTAATTTATGCTGTCAGAGTTACCATGGGCTAGTCCATATGAAGTTCTAATTTGAGTTATCCATGGATCCCATTCTCTTCAACCCTCATAAAACAATGGTTTTCAACCAGGGAACAATTTGCTCCACAGGGGACCTTTGGAAATGTCTGGAGACATTTTTGGTTGTCACAACTTGGGTGAGGATGGAGGGTAATGAGCTATTGGCATTTAGTGGGAGGAGACCAAGAATGCTGCTCAACACCCTACAGTGTACAGGACAGCCCTCTCCCAACAAAGAATCATCTAGTTCAAAATGTCAGCAGTGCAGAAGCCTCTGACAGAGAAAGGAAGGCGGAGTGAACTGAGTATCCGTGTGGATAGGTTAGGGATGAGGCAGGATAACTGATCTGAAGAAAGGTCCATAGGGAGCAACTGTTCTAAGGAGCATCTAGTTTAGAAAGAAGACCAGAAATTTTTATTTCTATGAGTGAATACAATTTGCCTATTCTTAACTAGCTCCTCTATGGAAATATTAAAATTTTAGTGTATTGCTTCTCATGATAGTCTCCTGAAACTTGTCACTGGAAGCCACCACTTGTCAAGTGACTTGTGAAACCTGATGTAGTCATGGCTCCTGAAATGTGAATAGCTATTGTTATATCTGGCTTTATTTTGAAGGCCCTTGTGGCTTTGACTCTAGAAACTTGGGTAATAAATAGTCTTGGAAGGGAGCAGGCACAGACTTCCATTTTGGTGAGGGAATATGTCGCACCTGAAGCATTTTTTTTTTCACCTGAAGCATTTTTTTAAAAAATTTTTTTTATTTATTTATGATAGTCACAGAGAGAGAGAGGCAGAGACACAGGCAGAGGGAGAAGCAGGCTCCATGCACCGGGAGCCCGATGTGGGATTCGATCCCGGTCTCCAGGATCGCGCCCTGGGCCAAAGGCAGGCGCTAAACCGCTGCACCACCCAGGGATCCCCTGAAGCATTTTTATATCCGAGTAGTAAGTCACTAAACTTGATCCTCTTAGTAAGAAAGTGGTCGATCATTAACTGCATTTGGAGGAGTGGAGAGACTGATCCCAGTGGTTCACTGGGTCTGTAATGTCTCTCACAGATTGGATGGTCTTCCTCTCTCCACAGGAAGCTCTGCCCACCAGGCTTGGTCCTCAACCTCATCCTCTCCCCTGTCTGCACTTATTCCCTAGTGTCCTCATCCAGTCCCAAGGCATTAATCCTCTTCATAGGCCAGTGGCCCTTCATGCTCATGGGCAATCCCACCGCATTGTCCTGCTTCCCTGAAGGACCATTTCACATCTTCCTTCCCCTCAAAACTCCCCCATCCTCTTCCCCATCATTCTGCATTGGATGACCTCGTTACCTATTTTCCTGAGAAAACAGCAGCTCTCAGGAGAAGCTTCTATAGATTCCACATGTCTCAGCATCTATGTCCTTTTGTTCTTTCCTTCCAGTCATCATGATCCAACTCTAGAATCTTCTCTTCTGTGTACTTGGATATCATTTGCTTTCTTTCTCCTGAATTTATACTTTCCCACCCTTGCTCACTGGGATCATTTCTATCAGCTGATACACAATATATTCCATATTTGTTTAAAAACAATCTTCCTTGACCCCACATCCCCCTCTAGCAATTGTCCCAGTTTCAGTTCTGCTTAACAGCAAAAAAAGTTGCCTCCTCACCCTCATTGTTTCCAACTTGTCTCTCCCGAACCCTTTTACTTACACTTTCATCCCATCAAACCAGGAAAACCTACTTTTATCAAGGTCACCATGACCTCCATTTGGCCAAACCCAATGGTTGATTATCGGACCTTATTGAGACATTCAGCCCCATCCACTGGGGGTGTGCCCTCCTCCTTGACACTCTCTCGAGACAGCCTGGGACAGCATGATTGTTTCCTTAGTGGTGAAATGTCTTCAATCCAGGGAAGGTTTAGAATTAATTACAGACATGAAATAAATCAGACCCGCAGTATCGTTTTTTTATGTTAAATTTGGAAATAATCTGTGTGTAGTTGATACTTTAATTGTGATATGTAGTACTTGTCAAGTTTAAATGGATTTGGCATGTTGGAACACACGATGATATACTCAGAGACTTTTATAAGAGGCTTACAAAACTAATTTTGTAATTGATGACAAAATTTTCAACTGGTTACACTACATTTATAAGTTTAATTTTATTTGTTTTACAAGAATGACTAAAATAGGGTTTTTTTTTTAATTTTTTTTTTAGTCAATTAATTCATAGTTAATTAACACAGAGGGTAAGAGCCAAAACTTAGATTCTGGAGCCAAACTATGGCTCACAAAGCAATTCGGATATTATTAGCTATATGATCTTGTGATAATTACCCTTTGACCCTCTGTACCTCAGGTTTCCTGTGTGTATTTATATATGTATGTATGTATTTTTAAAAGATTTTATTTATTTATTCATGAGAGACACACAAAGAGAGGCAGAGACACAGGCAGAGGGAGAAGCAGGCTGCCTGATGTAGGACTCGATCCCAGAACCCTGGGATCATGACCTGAGCCAAAGGCAGACGCTCAACCACTGAGCCACCCAGGTGTCCCTCAGTTTTCCTGTATTTAAGACAAGGATGATAATAATATGAGTTATCTGCTGGAATTTCTGTGAGAATTACAGAAGTTGGTGATGTAAATTGTTTAGAACAGTTTCCAGACATGGTAAGGGCTGTATTAGCTGTCATTGAAAAGCAAATAAAATATATTAAATTTATAAATGTAGTTAAAAACTTTTAAAGTTGCTTAGTGAACTAAGTCTAAGCAGAACCAACACTTAATCAAAGCCTCTCCATAAAACCAGTGGTTAGAATTTCCCTTGGAAATCGTATTATAAGATTTGTAAAAGTGACTTAAAAACTTGAAGGAAGAAGTAGGATTCTAAATTTGTTACTCCAATAAATCAAATATGGCTTACAAAAATATGTAGCCCCAAAGCATACCTTTCTTGAACAACGGAGTTGTCCTCTGGGGCATTCAAAAACTGACAAAGGCCAAACTAATTTTCTAGGAGCCCTGACATCTTGCTGTTGCCCCTGGGCTTTGGAAGCTTCTGTGGAGCAACCCCAGGCCCAGCAGTGAGGAGCCAAGCTTAGGGGAACCCGTAGTGTGAGGCAAAGCTGCCCAGCTGAGCCTGACCTCAATTAGCCAGTCCTCAACTGACCCACAGGTAAGTGAGTGCTTTACACATATTAACACATTTAATCCTTAGAATAACTCTATAGTATGTATCTACTCTCATTCAGATAAGGAAACTGAGGCACGGGAAAATTAAGAAATTTGCCCCAGGCCACAATGGTCGCACTGTGATGTTTAAAATTCAACAAGTCTGACTTGAGTCCATGCTTAACGACATTTTGATATTGTTTATTCTAACATAATCTATGACATTAAAAAAAAATTGGGTTGTAGCCCACTACATGGATTTCATGACCCTGTGATTTTAAAAAGCCCCTCCGAGGAGTTTTTCTGTGAAAACAAGAACTAAAAATCAAACCATCTCTCAAGAATCTTAAAAGCAAAATTTCCATAGTCGGGTTGTGTTCCTAGAACTTGTCATCACTGCCTTCTCCCGACCCCCCAAGAAAAAGCCCTCTGAACATGCTCCTTTGTGACTTTGGTGGTGAGGAGCTGGGCAGATAGAATAACATGGGCCAGACATTCTCTTCCCCTCACTCATCCACTTCCCCCCAACTCCCAGGTGCTACAGAATCAACAGGAATTCACAACTTCCTGATGAAAAGGAGGGACTGTCACCAGCATTCCAGGGGAAGGGATGGTGGCCTCCTAGCGCTCTCAGGAGCTCTTTGAGCTGTGGCCCCATGAAGAAGAGTGTGGGTCTCAACAGAAGAATAAAGTCTGATCCAAGCACAGCCATTTCTGAGGGGTCCAGACCACCCACCGGTCAGGGCAGAGAGAACCTCTGACAGTTTTAGAACTGGATTTGAAGTAGAGGCGGTAATGGCAGCGTTACAAATGTGAGATGGAAAGGGAACCAGTTAAAACTCTCATTCCATCGTGTATATAAAAGGCCAGCCATGAGCAACAGAACAGCTCCTTGATTTGTTTTTGACATACTAGAAAAAGTGTTTTTTTTTTTCCAGTTTTGTTGAGAAGTAGTTGATGTACACCACTGTATACATTTGAAGTGTACAGCATGCTGGCTTGATTTATGGATATTGCGAAATGAGTACTGCAGATTTGGTTACCATTCATCATCTCATGGAGATACAACAAAAAGAGAAGGAAGAAAAATGTCCCCTTGTGATGAAAAATGGTAGAATCTGGGACACCTGGGTGGCTCAGTTGTTGAGCGTCTGCCTTCGGTCCAGGGCGTGATCCCGGGGTCCTGGGATCAAGTCTCACATCCGGCTCCCCACAGGGAGCCTGCTTCTCCCTCTGCCTGTGTCTCTGCCTCTGTGTGTGTGTCTCTCACGAATAAATAAATAAAATCTTAAAAGAAAAAAAAACTGCTAGAATCTGGTTTCTTCACAACATTTCTCTATAAGTCATATAGCAGTGGTGACTGAAGACATCATGTCCTATGTTCCCTCCCTAGTCCTTCTTTCTCTTGTAATTGGAAATCTGTACCTTTTGGCTGCTTTCCTCCAATTGCCGCTCATCTCACCCCTGCCTCTGGTCACCAGGAGTCCGACCTCTTCGGCTGCTGAGTTTGGGGGCTTTGTTTTTAAGATTCCACATATAAGTGAGATCATATGGTATTTGTGTTTCTCTGGCTCATCTCACCTAGCATAATGACTTCAAGGTCCATCCAGGAGGAAAAAAAAACCTTATATAATTACAAGTTCCATGTGATAAAGAAATAGAAACACAACATTCAGGTTTACATATATATGAGCCTCAACTCAAAACTAGTATCAGAGTGTTGACTTGGAGGGGGGAAGAAAGTTAAATGAGGGCAACTGGAAGCATGTGGAAGAGGTGCTTTATGTAACAGTCTTTCAAAATTTCTCCTATACTCTGAATAGTTTAAGTAATAAGAAAGTAAGAAACTGCTGCCCTGTGTCTTTCCTCCCAGGGGTTGTTTCAGGGATTCTTTAAGGCAGTGGATTACAATCCTGCTATAGTTGAGAGATTGACAAAAAGCTTCCATACTGTACTTAGTCTCGTTTTCTCTCTCCTTTTTTACTTTTAAAAAGAAAAACCCGGAAGGATCAGATTTGTGCAAATGAGGGTATGCCAAGAGAGTGGTCAGTTTGGCTTTATGACCTTATGGAGGAAAATTCATGACCCTACGCATATGTACACACACAAACATACACACACATATACACATATCCATACATATATACACAAACATATAATATATACAAATATGTATACTCACATCCTGAACCAGCAATGGAGCTTTGTTTTTCTTGCAAATAAATATTATTTTTTCTCTAAAAACATTTTTTATGCAAAATAGCACTTGTTCATTTTGGTGTTAACCATCCCCTGAGTCCATAACGGTATTATTAACAATATAATAGTCTCACACTGGTTTATGTTCTCAAAGTACCTTTCCACCACCACCACCCCACCCCCTCCCTGTAACCTCAGGACTGTGACTCTGTTGTACACCAGGTACAATAAACTCCACCAGAGCAAGAACTGGTTGGTGTTGGGGACTGTTCAGTTCCAGCCTACAGTCAACCATTGACAAATTTTTGCTTCCTTGTTGTCCCTGGACGATCTTTGTTTATCCCAGGATCTAATTAATAAATTAAAAATGATACTGTAGCTGCTTTTTAAAAAAAATAAACTCAAAAGAGAATGAATAAAGCACTCTGATTGCCAATTAATCGATCTGCCCATTTTTACTAAGTAATTTTACTAAATAATTACTTTTACTAAGTAATTATACATGTCCCACCTACTGTGGAAGACACCAAGGGGGAGATCCCTGTATGGGATTCAGGAGATACCTTCATTTTAGTTTTGGAATTTTTTTTTTTTTAAACAAAGGTGATAATTGGCTGATGTGCATGTTGACAAACTACCATCCTTTATTTTTTTTAAATTTTTATTTATTTATGATAGTCACACACAGAGAGAGAGAGAGAGAGAGAGAGAGAGAGGCAGAGACATAGGCAGAGGGAGAAGCAGGCTCCATGCACTGGGAACCCGATGTGGGATTCGATCCCGGGTCTCCAGGATCGCGCCCTGGGCCAAAGACAGGCGCCAAACCGCTGCGCCACCCAGGGATCCCTGGAAATTTTTGTCTTGAAATGATTTCAAACTTAAAGAAAAGTTGCAGGAAGAATTCAAAGATCCTGTATGCTCTTCCTCTAGATTGCCCAACTGTGAACAATTACTAATTGTTTTTGAAATTCTGCCTTTGTATGTGCCTGCATGTATGTGTACTACTTTTTTCTGAACCATGGGAGAGTACGTTCAGACACGATGCTCCTTTACTCCTAAATACTGTGGCATATGTTTCCCAAGAATGAAGATGTTATCTTACAGTACTGTTTTCATATTTGCAAGTTGAAACTGATACCATATTATTTTCTAATGTACAGTCCTTATTTGAATTTCACCAGTTGTCCCAATAATTTCCTTTGCAGCAAAAACAATTTATTAAAAAAAAAAAAGAGGGATCCCTGAGTGGCGCAGCGGTTTGGCACCTGCCTTTGGCCTAGGGCACGATCCTGGAGACCCGGGATCGAATCCCACATCGGGTTCCCAGTGCATGGAGCCTGCTTCTCCCTCTGCCTGTGTCTCTGCCTCTCTCTCTCTCTCTGTGTGATTATCATAAATAAATAAAAATTTAAAAAAAAAAGACAATTTATTTTTCTGGTCCAGGCTCCAGTCCAGAGTGGCAAGTGACATTTAGTTACCATGTTTCTTTAGTGTCCTTCAGTCTGTTAGTGTTCCTCAGATTCTGTGTCATGGCCCTGACATGTTATAAGAGTACTGACCAGTTACGTTGTAGAATGTTCCTCAGTTCCGGTTTTCTGAGATTCCTCATAATTAGATTCAGGTAATATATCTTTGGCAGGAACAGAACACAGAAGTAATACTGTGTCTTTTCACTGCATGTTATAGGACACATCATGTCAATTCTGATTCTTGTGGTATTAACTTTGATAGTGACGACCAGATTTCTCTATTATAAAATAACTACTTTTATCTTTGTAATAAGTAATTTGTGGCAGGTACTTCCTCATCAAACTTTCACTGACTAATTTTAGAATCCAACTGATGATTCTTTCTAAATGATGAGGATATTTTCCCCCCTAGCTTTACCATGGTACTTTGGACAAATAAAAATTGCATATACAGGATGATGTAAGGTTTTTTAGATTTATTTATTTATTTTTAGAGTGGAGTAGGGGCAGGGAGAGAAGGAGACAAGCAGAATCCTGCTGAGCAGAAGCCCAACATGGGACTTGATCCTAGGACCCAGAGATCCTGAGTCAGATGCCCAACTGACTGAGCCACCCAGGTGCCCCAACTTGATGTTCGATATACATATGCATTATGGAATGATTATCATAATCAGGCTAATGAACACATCTATCACTTCACATCATTACCATTTGTGTGTGTGGGGGGAGAGCATTTGAGATCTACATTCTTAGCCGTTTTCAAGTACATAATACATTATTATTAACTGTACACACCATGCTGTACACTGGGTCCCCAGAACTTTTTCATTCATCATATAACTGAAAATCTGTACCCACTGACCAATATCTCTACTCCCCTTAACCCCTCAGCCCCTGGTAATCACTATTCTGCTCTCTGTGACAATAAGATAAACTTTTTTTCAACTTTTTCTTTTTCTTTTTTTTTTCTTTTTCTTTTTAAAGATTGCACATAGAAGTGAAATCATGAAGTATTTGTCTTTTGGTGCCTAACTTATTTCACTTAGCATAATGTCTTCCAGGGTCACTCATGTTGTTGCAAACAAAAGAATTTCCTTCTTCTTCAAGGCTGAATAATATTCCACTATATGTATGTCTGTATGTGTATTTATACACCCACAGTTTCTTTATTCATTCATCTTTCGATGGATACTTAGATTGTTTCTGTATCTTGGCTATTATGAATAATGCTGTAATGAACATGGTAATGAAATATATCTTTAAGATAGTGATTTTTTAATTTTGTTTGGATATATACCTAGAAGTAGATTACTGGATCATATGGTATTTCTATCAGATGAAAAGGCAATCCATAGAATGACAGAAAATATTTGCAAATTATATATCTGATATGGGTCAAATATCTATAGTATATTTAAAAACTCTCACAACTGGACAGCCCAGGTGGCTCAGTGGTTTAGCGCCACCTTCAGCCCAGGGCCTGATCCTGGAAACCTGGGATCGAGTCCCATGTCGGGCTCCCTGCATGGAGCCTGCTTCTCCCTCTGCCTGTGTCTCTGCCCCTTTCTCTCTGTGTGTCTCTCATGAATAAATAAATAAAAACTTAAAAAAAAAACACCTCTCACAACTGAACAACATAAAGACAAACAACCCAATTACAAAATGGATCTGAATAAACCTTTCTCAAAAAAAGTTATACAAATGGCCAAAAAGTGCACAACCTCGTTAGCTATCAGAGAAACCCAAATCAAACCCTCAATGATTTCATACTATGATTACTATAATAGTAATAATAACATGATAAGTGTTGATAAGGATGTGGAGAAATTGTAACCCTTATACATTGGTTGCTAAGTTGGTTGCTGAGCCACTTTGGAAAAGGGTCAAAATGTTAAACCTAGAATTATACAATTCAGCAATTCCTATCCTAGGTATTCATCTAAGAGAATTGAAGACCTATGTCCACACAAGAAAGCATACATAAATGTTCACAGCAACATTAGTCATTGTGGGACCCAGGAAATTTAACAAAATCCCCTACCCCTGGACAAGCAGAGCAGGACTGACTCTATTTTGTGCTGCACCCACCTTGTGCTGACCTGCTTATTACTTAGGGCACTGCCCTACCCTAGTCAAGTCCAGGGCACACCCTAACTGGAAATCCGGCTCAGTGGACCAGCATGACTGTGCAACTTTCTGCGTATCCCATTGGCCACTGGCCCCTATAAAGTTGCTAAGCCTCTTAGTCTCGGGGTCCAAGTCCCTGCTCCGCTGTGTCGGGTATACTTGGACCCAAGCTTGAGCTTGTAAATAAACCCTCGTGTGTTTGCATCGGTGTCGGCTCCTCGGTGGTTTCTCGGATTCGCAATCTTGGGCACAACAGTCATAACAGCCAAGAAATAGACAATCAAAATGCCTATCGATTGATGAATGGATAAATGGATGTATATCTATATAATAGAGTTTTATTCAGCTATAAAGAGGAATAAAGTACTGACAAATGCCACAACATGAATGAAACTTGAAAACATCATGCCAGGTGAGAG